CCACGAACTTGAAGCCCCCCTTGTATTCATACTGAAAAATCACCGAAGGCGTATCAGACAGTGGTCCTGAACTAGGTGTCCCATGCTTTCATTTGCTCAATCTGGCCACCTAGGCTTCCTCACAGGCCCCTTTCTCTGCCCCACCCCTCCCCTCCGATGCCCCAGGTAGCCACTCAGACTGCTTACAAAGCCCGAAACCAAACTCGAGATTTTCCTGACTCGTAGCGCCCCCATAGGGCAGTGTAGAGCGATCCCTGTAGGTTTCTGAGACTGAAACGCTTTATGGGAGTGAAAGAAAGCCTCCTCTTTCTCCAGGGGAGCTGTTGGTGGCTTTGAACTGCTGACCTTGTGGTGAGCAGCCCAGTGTGCTACTCATCACACCACCAGGGCTCCTGGTTTGTGCCCCATTTAAGTGATTGCTAAATGTTTGACGATCACACACACACACACACACACACACACACACACACACACACACACGACAAAGTAACAGCTGTTTTCTCTTTTTCCCTCCCAGAGCTGACCTTCCTGCTGCCTCCCGCCACCCTGGCGGGCCTGGCAGACGCCTGGCTCCGAGAGGACTGCCCGAGTCTCAACTACGCCGCCTTAGTCACCGGAGCAGCCTCCTCGCAGGCGGCCTTGTGGGCCAAGTCCCCTGGGGTGCTGGCTGGGCGGCCCTTCTTTGATGCCATCTTTGCCCAACTGAACTGCCAGGTCTCCTGGTCCTTCCCGGAGGGATCCAAGCTGGTGCCCGTGGTCAAGGTGGCCGAGGTGCGGGGCCCCGCCCACTGCCTGCTGTTGGGCGAACGAGTGGCCCTGAACATGCTGGCCCGCTGCAGTGGTGTGGCCAGTGCTGCGGCAGCTGCGGTGGAGATTGCCAGGGGCACCGGCTGGGCTGGCCACGTGGCGGGCACAAGAAAGACCACACCAGGCTTCCGGCTGGTGGAGAAATATGGGCTCCTTGTGGGCGGGGCTGCCCCCCACCGCTACGACCTGGGGGGCCTGCTGATGGTGAAAGACAACCACATCGTGGCAGCCGGTAGTGTGGAAAAGGTACGTGTCTGGCGGGGCCTCTGCCAGGCCCAACCTGGCCCTCTTCACAGCCTCCCCCCAGAGACTCGCGGCCACCCCCTGGGGGCCAGGGGTGCAAACCTGCCCAACACCTCATTAGCCCCCACCGTAAGGTGAGGGCGTGGGCTTTGGCCTGTCGGCAGTCACTCGACTGTTACTTGGCACGATATCGAGAGCCGAGGGCAAGCCGTGGGGAGCCCCGCCGACAGTGGCTGTATGACCTTGGGCAGGTCACTTGAACGCTGCAGCTCTGTTTCCCAAAGTCTTGAAGCCTTTCCCTCCCCACTTCTATGGTTCGTATTCTGAGCCACGTTGAACTCAGGTCTAAATTCCGGATGTGTGTCCTGGTGATATCGGCCACTGAGGACCCACCAAGCCCCAGACCAGAGCTCACTGCCGACTCACAGCGAGCCTGCGGGACAGGGCAGAGCTGCCCCTGTGGGCTTCCGAGGCTGCAACTCTTTAGGGGCGACGAACGTCTCCTCTTTCTCCGGAGGAGCCAGCGGAGGGTGATTTCAAACTGCTGACCTTGTGGTTGGCAGCGCCACCGCCCGGGCTCCTCTTTGGACCAACACCGCGGTCATTTCCTGTGGCTGAGCCTGATCTCACAGAGACCATCATCCCGCGTCCACGCACACGCACACACATGGTTAGCCATCTGGGAACCCAGCCGCTCTGCGGGAGCAAGACAAGGTTTTCTGCTCCAGTCTGGGAAACCGACGGCGACAGTTCGACCCCATCCTCTAGCGTCGTCCTGAGTCAGCAGGGAGTTCAGTGTGGTTACCATGGGGGGTCTTCGGGATGCTAGCCCAGCTCACAGAACCCCCTGCACTTCTCCCCACCCCGCAATGCCTCACTCCCGGCCTCCCCTGACAGGCTATCCGAGGGGCCCGGCGGGCAGCCAGCTTCACTCTGAAGGTGGAGGTGGAATGCAGCAGCCTGCGGGAGGCTGTGGAGGCCGCTCAGGCGGGCGCAGACCTTGTCCTGCTAGACAA